GAGCACATACAACGTATTACTAATTGACCTGGCCAGGGCAACATGGTGAAGTAAGAAGACTGTACATTGGCTAGAATAAGAAAAAACTTATGGGTGAAGAAGAGGCTTCCTGTTGTCCAATACTTGGACTTGATATGTAGATCCGTGTGTGTCCCAGACACATAGCTGCTTAAGGCGAAACCTTCGCTGACTTTCCATTCAATCAGGGACTTCCTCCTTTATTAAATTGTTATTAAGACTTTATTAATTGTTATTAAGACTTTCAAGACTCAGCAAAGCTCACCTCAAACTCACTGCCTTCAAGTTGATGTCAACGCCTAGCGAGACAGGGTAGAACTGGTCCTATGAGTTTCTGAGTCTGTAACTGCTTACGGGAATCGAAAGCTGTCTTTCTCCTGAGGAGTGGCTGGTAGTTTTGAACTGTGAACCTTGTGGCTCGCAGCCCAACCCATAACCACTACGTCACCAGGGCTCTATAAGTATGGCAGGGGACCAGGAAGATGGCACAGGCTCCTGGATATCGTTGGTAATATAATATCTAGTTAGACAGAGGTCTAGATTATTAATCCCTACTAATTCCGAGAGGCCTCTGCCTTGAGGCAACTCTTCCTTTCTAAGGGAGTGACTCTTGTCAAGCCCAGGGGGCCATGCTCTTTCTTTTGTCAGCGGCTGATGGAGCCAGGAGTGGGGTGACCCATGGGAAGCCAGTTCAAGGTTAGCCATGATTTATGACTGAGGGTGGACAGCTTAGAGGGAGACAGTGAGCTGGACCAAATATACTTCTCTCTTGGGAATGGGAAGAGGGAAATGGAGAGACTGAGGCTGAGGAGAGACAGTGGCAGCAGATCCTGACTGAAAGCACAGCCGAGATACGCCATCACCAAGTCTGGAGCACGCATAAACCGGAGGGATACGGGATTAGGGGAAGTCAGATGAGAGAGAAGGGACGGGAGCGTGTGCCTTGAGGGGAGCAGGGAGGGTTTGAAGGAGGAGGGAAGAGGACAAGGTGGACCTGCTGGTTCCCAGCATTGCCTCAGTTTTCTTGAAGTTCCTCCAGCTGGACCTGGGCTCTTCCATCTTGGGATTGCCTGAACTTTGGCTGTTTTTCCAAGTCAATGATCAGATTAAAAACTCAGGTGTACTCTGAAAATTCACGGATGGGGATGACATTTAGAAGTAAGCCACCAGAAATACTCAAAGATGGTCTTCTTCCATAAATTGCCAATAACCTGGAACAACTACACATTCAGCGTGGAATCCTCACTTGGCTGTCAACTAGAGAAGACCCCGAACTCAGGAGATGCCTGTGTTAGTTCCTAAAACCGAGTTCCCTGGCTTTTTTGAGATCTTGAAAGCTCAAGCACCCTTTCTTCGTAGTCTCTTTATGCCTAGAGCATGAGGGGGCATCCCCCCAAATGGGAAAAGCTGCAGTAGGCGGAACTTTTGTAGTATGCATTTTTCCCACTAGGC